CTGTGTCTTTTCTATAAATACTTTCATGGTAATTGCTCAGATCACTATGGTGACTAGACTATGAACTTAAACACAGTACTAGAGCCGGCATTACTTGAACTGCTTAGATGTAACTAAATTCTATGCTAACAGTTTCTTTTCTTGTGGAACTCCCTTCCAGTTCCATGCTTTCTAGTAAACTTTAAACTGCAAAAATTTAAATGCAATTTCAATAACTATCTACTATCCTCCTGATTACTCTTTCCTCTTCCCACTCATTATTAATGTTTCTGTTCCTAATCCTTCTACACCCTCTAACCCCTTGTGTTTCAGTGGCTTTACTGTCTTGCCGATTTAAAAAAAAAAAAAAAAAAAAAAAAAAAAAAAATGGACAGGCAGTACAATGATTAAAAGTCAATGAATTCTAATGAGAGCTCTTACAAACTAATACTTGAGAATGATATTAAAAGTAAACATTAAATAGACAAAGTCTCAACTTGACCGACAACCAATTGTTTTAAGTTTAAAACTTAAAATAGAGAATTTGGTTTTTGTTTAAAACTAAACAACTTATGGCATACAAGTACCTCACCTGATTGACTATCTACCAATCAACATTGTAATATCATTGAGTTAGGCAAGGATTATGTATGGACAGTCAAGTCTGGTATGTACAATACCCAAATGGGGGAGTGGAGAGACCTTGGGGGATCCCCAGGCAATGCTAAATACGTTACAAATTAGTGTATTAAAGGATGACAAATTTTTGGATTTTCACGTCTTTCTGCACTGTTTTTTGTTTCTCCCTTCTTCCAAATCCATGAAAATTCACTTTTTTTATCCACAATATTGAAAACGTTAAAATTCAACTTTTTAACAAGAAAAATCTCAAGTTGGTGTTTAAAATGACATAAAACTTGATTTATTTAAGATGAAATGATCTATATGACATATCTCTAATTTAAAATTAGGTACATTGCACTTATTCTCAATTTTTGTAGTTGAATTTTTTCGCCTATATTGCATAGGATGAATTATTGTACATAATTAGATTACAATAAAATTTGTATTTTATATGAATACTACCTTATGAAAATTGAGAGAGTGAGTGAGTGAGTGAGTGTGCGCGCGTGTGTGTGTGTGTGTGGATTCACAAGACCCCTGCACCAGGGCAGTCTACATCTGGATAGGGAACAGACTACCAGATACCTGAATCTTGCATATAAAGAGCTGGGAGATATTTAAGGGTGGAGGCTAGAATTCTACATAATGTAATGTTAAACAATTTCCTCACATTGAACAGGGAAAATTCTTTTTCTTAAACCATGAAATTAATAAATCAGCCTAGATTGTTAAGTCCTACTAAAGAAAAACTGTGCTCTCAACTGGAATTGAATCTGTACCTATCCCCTCAAGGAAACTTTTTTTTTTTTTTTTTTAAAGCCACAAGAGACCATCCTGACAGAGTAAAGTTTGAATTCCATGTTTACAGAAATTACATTTCCTGTTTGGATTTCTACATCTATGTCTGCTAGCTTCGGTTTTGTACCCAAAACCAAAACTAATTTTTAGAAGGATTTTTTTTTTATCCAACAGGTAATATATAGAATGAAATGCATTTTGTCTCTTCTTACATACGATTCCATAACTGGAGACATTTAATCTTTTTGAAGGTCAAAATGCAGAACTTTGCCTATTTTGTCAGTCAATTATTAACTATTAATGCAAATCATATGTACCATAAATTGTGGCATACAAAAGTGGAGTTTTCAAGTCTTTAAAAAAAAACAAAAAAAAAACAAAAAAACAAAAAAAAACAAAAAAACATCTTTTTAAAATTGAGGGGTGGTGGTCTATGACTTATATGGCAGGTATAAAAATGCAAAACTATTACCAAGTAGCAAAAATTACTCCACACTACACGACTTACCATACCCACAAAAGGTTGCCACAAATATATCCCACTAAAACTTGTTTGGTGAACATATTTGGCATATCAAGACAAATATAAAATAGTAACACACAGTCTATTAATGCTATGATGTGTAATCTACAGTATTAATATTTTATAGAAGTTGATGTTGATTTTAATGTGTTTAACTGACAAATTTTAAATGTTCTGTAAGTTAGACTGATACAATACATGTACCTACCCACATAGGTAGGTTGGTTGGTAGGTTGCTATTGCTCTACAATGCATATAGATAGCTATTATGTTTAGTGTCTCAATACACAGGTAAGTGGTGTGACCATATGTACTTTTGAGCTACTGTACGCATTTTTGTTTTTTTTTGGTGGGGGGAGAGATAAAAACAAAACAAACGACCTATCTAGTAGAATTTTGAGGTAAAAATCTTGGCCGATTTGTACGCCACATTTTACTGTACTGAGTTAACCACCTGATTAGACTTTGGTGGTTAAAACTGTGGTAATGTTTCATTCAGCATTTTAATCTTAAGGTTTCATTTTTCTTACTTGAAATTGAGCCATTTCTAATGCATGCGATTTTAGTGTTTGTTTATTGTTTGTGTTTTTTTTAACTAAGAGAAAAAAATGTATATAATACAACTGCTTATTTTATTTTTATTTATTTATTTTTTTAAATTAAAAAAATACAAAAATCATAAAATCTTGTGTTATACAGGATATCTGTCCATCATTAATGGAGCTACCAACTGTGTTGCCAATCATTTCCAAGAAATAAACAAGTGATCTGTTTAATTTGAACTTTGAAGTCTAAAAAAGTTCAAACATAATTGATATTCAATAATCAGAAATACTGTAAATGGAAGTACCCACCCCAAATTCATAAAAGGGGTAAAATAAACAGCAAGACCAAATGGTTAGTAACCAAATGTTTTAATGGAAAAGAGGTGGGGTGGGGGAAAGAAAAGAAAAAAAAAAGAAATAAATTAAATTTTTTAGATTTATTTTATTTTGTTTTTATTTATTATTTTTTTTTCAAATCTGTTAGATTCAGTTTTTATTTTTCATTAAAAATTGAAATAAATAATGAAAAAAAAAAAAAAAAAAAAAATTTAAATAAAATGAGTTACAGTACACACACACACGCACACCACACAACTGAGGGTCTCATTGGGTACAACCAAGAAAAGAAATTGTTTTTTTTTCTTTTTTTACAAAAAGGTGAAGAGAAGAACTGATTTCTATATATATATATTTTTTATTTTAATTTATTTATTTATTTATTTTTTTTTTAAATTTTCTTCATTTAACTTACAGTGGCTGGATTATTTGACTATTTTTTTTTTCCTGAAAGTTTAAATTTTTTTCTTTTCCTTTGTTGTGCAAAGGAAAGGATGGGGGAGAGTGAGTGAGGGTGGGAGAGAATTCAAAAAATCTCATTCGCAATAAGGAAGAAAAAAAAAATATTTTTTAATTTTTTTTATTTTAAATAAGTAAAAAAAAAAAAAAAAAAAATAAAAAAAATAAAAATAAATAAAAAAAAAAAAAAATTAAAAACAAAAAAATGTTTAAGTTAAAAGGAAAAAAAAAAATCTTTTTCTTATGTCCCTATTTCTGCATCTTCCAAACAAAATGGACGTCTGATATGATTCGGCCCAAACAGAAGTAGGGTCGGATTACAGGCAACAATCATCCTATAACAATTATTTAAAAGAAGAAAAAAAAAAAAAAAAAAAATGACAGTCCATTGTGGACATACAGAAGATCTACAGAGAGACATTTTTTTTTTTTTTGGTTTCATTTTTAAGTTTTTTTTTGTTTTTGTTTTGGACACTTATTTTTTTTCAGGTGGTTTTCCTGTCCAAAAAAGACATATATATATATATATATATATATATATATATATATATATATATATATGTGTGTGTGTGAGTGCAGAGATAAAAAAAAAGTTCTAGTTTTCTGACTTTGTTTTTTTGGTTGATTTTTTTTTGTCTTCTGTTTTGTTGTTAGGATCAAAAAATTTTTTTTTTTTTTTTTTTTTTAAATTTCTTATTCTTCATCTCTTTCTCAGGTTAAGAAACAAACTCTTAGACACAACTGTAAACTTAGTTGGTTACTGCCAGCCATGTCTAAGAACAACTCCGGACATCTGTGTAGTACTCTTCAGGGCGTGCTGAAATAGAAGTAATAAAATATGTTTGGGGGGGAAGGATAAAAGGAATGCTTTAGTGTGATAAGATTTTTTTACACTGTAAAGAGAAAAAAAGTGAATGATTTGTGTTTTTTTTTTTTTTTTGTTTTTTTGTGGAGCTTGAGAGAAAAAAAAAAAAAAAAGACAAACTCTCTCCATTTCAAGCTTTTGAGCAAACACTCAAAAGGACAATGTGGAGAGAGCATATTGTGCATTGTACATTTCTTTGTATAAATTTCATTCTTTTTTTTTTTTTTGTTTCATCTTTCTCTGTAATCTTAATTTCTAGACAAGTAGAAAGACATTATGTCAGTTATAAAGAGAAACTAATTCTATGAATTTAAAAAAATGTCACTAATAAGCATTCCATACTCAGCTGACTTTTCAAGTTATTAAAGAAAAGCAGGCGACATACAAGCATAAGAATATAGAAGAGAAAAATACAGTTAATATCCCAGCTTACAAAAAAAGAAAAAGTATTTAATCCCCTGAGTGTACTAGGATTACCAGAGAGAGAGAGAGAGAGAGGGAGAGACAGGGGCAGAGAGAGAGGGGGCAGAAAGAGAGGGAGAGAGAATGGGTTTGTAAGAGGAGATTTCCCCCAACCTCAGAGAGAGAGAGAGAGAGAGAGAGAGAGAGAGAGAGAGAGAAGCAGAGTGGCATTCAGCAGTTTCTACAGGTTATTAAATTTAAAAAAAAAAAAAAAAAAAAAAGTACAATGTAAGTTTTTAGGTTTTTTGTTTGTTTTTTTTTTTTGGTAATTTTTTTTTTTTAAAGAGTTACTGAAAGTAGCAGTGGTAGTATCAGTAGTAGTGGACAGAGGAAGTAGACAAAGGAAGCTGATTCACCGTGGAAATCCATAACACATCACGCAAAGCTGGACATATCAGCATTTCAATTTTCAGAAGAAGCCGGGATAGTCTGAAAAGATCCAACAGGAAGAGAGAATGACAACTTTGCTTCCAAAGAAAAAAAGACGAAAAGTCAAAACAAGAATACAGAGATTTTTTTTTTTTTTTTAAATAAAAGAGAGAGAGAGAGAGAGAGAGCGAGAGAGAGAGAGAGGAAAAAGAAAAAAAAAATGTCTTAAAAGAGCCATCAAATCTTAATTGACAGCTGAATTTATCAATAGAAGAGTGAAGAAAAATGGACACCAGGTATTTTGGCATGGTAGGGGTTTAAGTAATTAAAAAGGTAGGGTCAGATCTGGAAAACAATGGGTAAGTCAACATTTACCCCGTGTTAGAAAGGAACAAAGAAAAAAAAAAAAAAAAAAAAAAAAAAAATGATCAGTAAACTACTACTCAGTAATTTAACAGACTAACATCTTCATAATTATGTTCCTATTTTAGTGTTCTCTATCTCTTAAGCGACCGAGATGGGGTTAGCCAATTCCTGGTTGCAAACAGGAGAGAAATTTTGGATCAAAGTCAGTTTATCTTGACAGCTCAGCATTCAGGGTTTGTAAATATAGTCTTTCCTTGGTGTTATAACACACACGTGTGTGTGTGTGTGTGTGTGTGTGTGGCTTAATGCCTAAGGTAGAAGTGTGGGTGAAGAGAGTTTATATTCTCTTCGTACTAATACTCTTAGCAGAGGCATGTCCTCATTTCCCTGACCAACTATGAATAAAAATAGCAGAGCAGACTGCTAACTTCAGCTTTGGTTGGCAATCCATTTAAGAGAACCATTTAAAAAAAAAAAAAAAAAAAAAAACAGGAAACCACTATAGTCTTTCCCAAGATGATAATGAAAATGATATAGGGACGTCATATTATTATTTAAATAAAATACTGTTTAGTAGTCTACCAAAGTTGGCCAAGTTGCCAATAAATATTTGTGATTACACATTAAAGTGTCAGTGTCCACATCTACAAATCTGAGAATACATATCTTGAAAGTTATTATTAGCCAAGTTCTGTAATATTTTTATACTAATCTTCACCCAATACAAGGCCCAAGAGCCACTCAAGGTAGAGGGTTACTATGTAGTGTTATATGAGCATAAGAAAAAGCAAGAAGTGCAGTTCATGAGGTTATGTCGGAAAGAGGATAGTTAACTCTTGACTTGAAGAGATTGAGAAAAATCATCCTACCAGGAATTTGTTGCACAAAGCAGCAGTTCTTTGGAAGATGATGTCGGAGTGGAACTTCCTCCTCACTAATAGAATATAAAGGGAATGAGGAGGATTCACCCTTGGGCAAATATTGTGGTCGGTCCCAGCTGCAAAGGTCAGGGCTGGTGGAACTAAGGAACGTAGCTTGTCAGAGAATTTGCCATGGAAATAGCGATAGAGTAGAGAGAGGCCTGTAGCATTTTATCAGTGAGGAAAAGGAATGTAGGGTGGAAAACAGTTCATTGCCCACAAGGCTGCATTGAGGCCTTTGAACTCTATCAAAGACAGGCGTGTGAGGACTGGGCAGCTCCAACCCAGATATAGCAGCAGTACTCCATTTTTGGTCTGATCTGACTTTTGTATGGAGAGTTTACCAGGGGGAGATAGATAGATAGATAGAGATTTTATATATATATATATATATATATATACATACACACACACACTTACTGGAGCAGTACAACAAGTCACCATTTAACACCACTCCACCCCCACTAACCAGCAATAATTAGCAGTTAATGCAGTATATATATATTTTTTTTTTCTTCTTCATGTAGCATTTATTTATAACTTTTCAGATAAACATTTAACTGTATTGAAAATATAGTTTTTAGTCGTATACAAATAGATCTTTGGCTATGAATGTGGAATTGAAAAATCCAGGTTTGAATCTCATTCTAGTCTTGTATTCAATTTTGCCCAAACAACTTGGGAAAGGCATGAATCTTTTCTTCCCAGCTACATGTTAAATAGCAGGGTAGACTATGCTTTCTAGCCCTGAGTGGCAACCAGTTTGGGAGAGCAATTACTCCAGCTTTAAAACTGTGGAGAAGGCAATAAAACTATAAAACCCAGGTAGTCCTGATGATTAAATAAATAGGAGATTGTGGAGAACCATCATCATAAAGCATATGCCATGCCCTGAAGGTACATGGCATAAAAAAAAAAAAAAGAAAAAAAAAGAAAAAAGGAAATTAAAATTATGAATAGCTTTATAGTGAAATGAATAGGAAAGGTACATCAATACCTATAGGTTTAATATTCAGGCAATAGGGATTTAATTGCTAACAAAATTCCTTTCACTGATATGATAGATCAGAGTAAATTTCATTTTCATCAAAGTGCCACCAATCTGGGAGCATATGTTGTCTGCCTGTTTTATTTTTTTCTGGAGGGTGCTGCTGTTGGTAGATAAAAAAAGATCGAGGGATCCGTTTGAAGATGTTAGTCTAAAAAAATTCTGTGAGTAGCAAGTGTTTTTACTGGAAAGAGGAAGGTGGGGGGAGAGAGAGAGAGAAAGGGAAGAAAAAAAAAAAAAAAAGAGAAAACACACAAAAAACACTCCCTGGAGTAAGTAAAGATCACAAGTTAGCAAGAATTAGAGAGGAGGAGGAGGTGATCACGAAGGATGGAGGGTGACAAAAACCAGCGAGTAAGGAAGTCAAAACTGATTAAGCAAAGTCAAAAAACTAGGAAAAATCCAGAATTATTGAGTGTGTGAGGAAGGAAAGAGAAACACTAAAAAGATCAAAAGACAAGGTGACTGCAGGAATTATAAAGGGCAACATGACTTAAAAAAAAAATTCTCAGCAAGGTAAAGATTTATTATCACAAGAGTTGTATTGAAGGTGAGTATAAAAAGTAAGAAAAGGAAAAGAGAAAGTGATACAAAGATTGAGAAAGAAGAGGGGTTTGGCTAAAGTGTCTATATATATATATATATATATATATATATATATATATATATATATATATATATATATATATAATAAATTAAATGATTTAAAATATCATTTCTTCGCTACACAGTAATAACCATGTTTCAAAAACCAAAGCTAAAAACTTTGGATTTATTTATATTTATAACTCAGTAAATTTAAAAATAAGTTATTCCAAAATTTGCTTGAAGACGAATCAGAACTAATGCTTTTAATTTAATTATATAAATAAATTAAAAGTTTTTAGCTTTGGTTTTTGAAACATGTTATTACTGTGTAGCAAAGAAACCATATTTTAAATCAGTTAATTTATAATATTTATGCTTTAAATTTATTTTCATTGAGCACTGTTTTGTAAAAATAAAAAATATCAATAAGAACACCGGATTATATATATATATATATATATATATATATATATATATATCTCACTTAGAGATTATTTTTTGTGGATACTCATATTTGAGTAGACACTTCATTTATTTATTAAATGAGATAAATATTTGAGAAATCTTATTAAAAGAAAAATATGCTCCCTCTGGCAGGATACGAAACTGTGTCCCCCTTGGCAGGGGAAACCATCATTAGATCTGACATGCTTATACTGACTCAGCCTTAAAGAACATTAAGTGATCAAGCAAAAGTGAATAGTATCCTTTGTGTCAGATTCTGCTGGGGGGGGGTCATTTTTCTTCAATAAGATTTCTTATATTCAGGCTAGTAAAGGAAAAAGGAATATACTATTTAATAAGTGGAATGCCTACTCAAATATGATTATCTTCTCAAAATGACGTTTAAGTGATAAAATCTGTCAGATTAATAAATTAAAAAATATATAAGAAAAATATACGGAAAAACAAACAAAAATCCTAATATGCAATTATGCTGTTTTAATGTTAATATAATGTCAACGTCAGACGTTTCGTTCTAATAGACCATTTTCAGGACATTCATAAAACATAATTAACAGACCATATTCAATTCAACATGAAAAAGACGATGGACATAAAAGCAAGACCAATCCAGTCTTTTTCATGTTGAATTGAATATGGTCTATGTTTTATGAATGTCCTGAAGATGGTCTATTAGACCGAAACGTCCGACGTTGACATATTAACATTAAAACAGCATAATTGCATATTAGGATTTTTGTTTGTTTTTTCCGTATATTTTTCCTTCATACTGTCGGATCTATATCCATATATTTGGATGAAGATTATATATATATATATTGTGTGTGTGTTTATTTTTATCATAATACTTTCATATTCAAATATTTTTCCATATATTACAACTGAAATTCAGTAATGGATAGCTGCATATAGTTTTTGCCTTACCAGTTGCATCTCTGACTATGATCTCAGAAAGAGATAGAAAGTAATTGGGAAGTGATTTTCACTGTTACAGTACATTTGACTCATTTTATTGTAATATACAGAAAAATATTTGTGAATATGAAAAGATTGATAAAAATAAGCAGAATGTGATTTATCCAATCAGACATGTCTATAAGAGAATTTGCTGCCTAAATACACAAATATATGACATGCTTGGCAGAGGGGGTGGTGTATTAAAAGAAATTATTGATTATATCATATTTAAGTATTTTACAAAAAATTAGAGTTGACTACACAATATTTCAAGCTCAATTCAGGTTTATAGTTCATAACCATGAAATGTGATGAGGTAACAAACCTTAGATTTGTCTGCAGAATATCTTTACATAATTATAATGAAATCATTAAAGCTTTTTTGTCAAAAGCATTTCATATTTTTAAAATTTTATATTAATTAAAAATATTCCTTTTTACAGGCTTTATTTTTTTTTTTTAAATAGAATAAGATCATTCTAAATTTCAGAATTTCGCTATTGTCTGTCAAAATGACTGGAAGAAAGTGATCTAAAAACAACGATGGAAAAGAGAGGTAACAAAGTTTAAATGAAATAGACCCAGTTTGTTCAACTTAGGAAACTTAGCATTGCAGCCAAATTATTCTAAAATGCTTCCAATAACAAAGAAGAAAATGAAAAATACTTAACATATCAAATATAGCATCAAAACTTATATTATTTTTATTTATTTGTTACGTAACTAAATACATTAATTGTCAACAATGTTTCTGTAAAACTTGATATGTCCTATAATAAATTCTTAATATTATTTTAGTTAAGTGTAAAGTAGTCCCACAATTCCTTACAGCTAACCATTTTTATGGTTAGCTATAAAGGAATTGTAGGACTACCTTACAAATGTTGATCAAAACTGCCTAAAACCTGTAAGTGCATATTGCCAAAAAATTATCAAATGTTAAATACCCCCACTCCTCTGCTGAACGCATCATATATTAGAATCTATTGCTCTTTGACCCCACAAAAAAAAAAAAAAAAAAGGCATGAGCATGCTAAAATTTTGAAAAATAACAGATCTCTGGAAAGTTACCCATTTAAAAAAAAAAAAAAAAAAAAAAAAAAAAAAAAGTTCTGTAAATAGTAGGCAAATAAAACTAAAATGCAATTACTGCAAAGCATTATGAGATTGATATCATATAGAATATAAAATATTACAGAATATTAAATTTTAGTTTACCATATAAATGTCAATTAAATTTCTTTATCAAATATGGTGCTCTTGCTGTACAACATACTAATAAGCTACCAAGACGCAAGAGGTGATTGTAGAAGAGTTAAAAACAGGAACATTGCTTTAATGGTATATCTAATAGTTATCAAGTACTAAGTATGCGCAATATCTATTTCAGAAAACACTTTTGGCGACTGCCATGTGTGCGAGAGAGAGAGAGAGGTAGAGAGATAAATTATGTATCTCAAGACTGACAGTTGTGTAAGTGTAGAAAAATTTTTAATTTGAAAGTTAGTGTATCTAAATAAGCATTTATAGAAAACATTCTTCAATCAATGCAATCATTCTTATCAAAAGTCCTGATAAGTGTGAAATCACAAAACTCAGTGTTGACCACTGATAAATATTTCAGATTGTTTCTTTTTTTTTTTTTATGATTTTTCCATCTTTTCCAGGTTATTTAAAGATGGAAAATATTTTTATATTCTAAGATGTTTTTGGAGACTGAGTTTTACTGATACAAGTTTTACTAATTAGTAAAAATTGTATTAGTAAAATTCTTTTTTTCAGATAATGGTTTAGTGATAAGTTTTAGTAATTAACCTATAGCTGGAGGGGAAGAGGTGGATCTAGGCTTCCTAAAGGTATCTGCATGTAAGTGAATATAATTAACATGACTGGGAATTGGAAAGCTCTTATTTCCAATTCTGAGGCATAATACATTACACCACCTGCACATCCAGCCCCTGGTATTCCCAAGTTGTCACCCATCTAGATACTTATCAGGCTCAATGTTGCTCAACTTTTGGTGATCATATGGGAATCAGTATTTCAATGTGATATGGCAGCAAGTCTGAAAAGCAATATGAACTTATAGTATATTATATATATATATATATATATATATATATATATATATATATATATATATATATATATAAATTGAAAATGATGACCTCATTTGCTTATAGCCGTTTCACCCAACTAGAACTTACTTGCAGGGGTTCTATCGGTGTTGAAAATCCCTGCAAGTAACTTCTTGTGGGGGTGAAATAGCTATAAGCAAATGAGGTCATTTTCAATTTCGATTATATGTAATTTATTTATATAGGCTCTGTTATAATAAATACATTGAGCTCTCTTTGTAGAACAATTTTAACATTTTATATTATTAGGATCACTTAGATTATATACCTATGAAATTTTTTATATATATATATATATATATATATATATAAAAACAGGTGCTGAAAGTTCTCAGCCCAACTAAGTTTCTGCTAAAAAAGATAAAAATCTTGTAGTTCACCATTTGGTAAATGGATTGAATTTGAGAACTTAACAGCACCCTCATTTACCTAACTCAAAAGCACCTTCTTATTTATATTGTTTGATAATAAATTTTGGGGGCTTTAATGAATGCAGCCTTCACTTTTAATGAAGAGAATCGGATACATCCAGATACCACACTCCCAGATCTTGAAGGTCACAAGCGCTATTATAAAAGATTTGGCACATTGTATACATCCATTGGACCCAAACAGGTTTTATTTAAAGTTAAAATTCAAAAACATCCTTGACTATAACGAGGATTGTATTAAGAGACTGCTGCCCAAATATAAAATGTAACTGTTTAAATATTCCTAGATATTTCAGGTTATTTTTTCATTTAATAGAAATGTATATAAAAAAAAAAAAAAAAAAGGGAGAAAAGAGAGAGAGAGAAGAGAAATTTGGCTTATACAAGCATAACAGGAAAATAAGTGATGGAGGACTTCAACAATGAAGTGGGGTTAGGAGAAAAAGGAAGGAAGAAAAAAAAAAAAAAGGAAAAAAAAAAGGTTTTGGTAAGGTGCAGAAACCAGGATTGCAAAGAAATTAAGTGTGGGAAGCAACGTCTACAGAAAATCAAAAGTACTAAAGAGAAGAAAAAAAAAAAAAAAAAAAAAAAAAAAAAAAAAAGTATCACACACACATACACACCACCAGGTGATTTGGAACAAACCCCTATTTGCAAGATAGTGAATCAGCTTCTGTAGTTTCCAAAAGTAACATCCGGCAGCATAGGAACCCCAATTTTGTTTTTCCTTAGCATCAGTATAGTTGGCTGGTCCCTTTGGTAGAAAGGATCTCTTCTTTTAAGTTTAAATTTAAGCTTTTAATAGCTTTCAAACTAAGCAAAATTATATATATAAAAAAGATAAAGAAGGCAGACATCATGCAAGTGTTTTTATATATATATATATATATATATATATATATATAAATATAAAGAAGCTTATGATTAAGAAACGTGCAAATAAGCCAATGTTGATTGACTGTGCTTACTTTTATTAAACTTCTTGACAGCACATTATGCAATAGTAAAGAATAGTCCATTTTCTATAAGCACATTACATATGCATATTTATAGGTTGTGGTTAACGAGATCATCTGACAAATCCATTAATTTAGCTAGTTTACTGGGTGCTCTCACTAGTGGGGTCTTATGCCAGGCTATGCTAAGCTTTGAAATGAAGCTGAAGCTCAAGGCAGATTAGACATTAGTAGTGTCATAATTTTTTGATTTTGTTACTGGAAGTATAAAAAAAAAAAAAAAATCAGAAAAGGAAAACAAAATAATAAAATGAAGATATATTTTGGAAAGAAAGCTTTTTTTCTTTTTTTTTTTTACAGAATTATTTCAAAGAAAAAGAATGTATCCCAGTATCTAAGAGAAGAAACCAGCTAGAAAAGTTACATAGAAAAGTTCATATTGAATCAAAGTAGTTATTTTATTACCACAAGGAATTGAGCCACAGGAGTTAAATTATTTTATATTATTGATGCAGTTAATAACTATTAACATTGTTTGAACTGTTGTCCTCATCTTCATTGCCATATTCACAACATTTCAACCATTGTACATGCTGGCCTTCTGCAGGTGATCTACATTGGAATTTTGAACTAAACCCTATATTTAGCCCACCGGGAGGTGGGTAGATTCTTTTAATTCGTACCATACCTTCTTTTTTTTTTTTGGATAGTTTCAGTTAATTTCCTTTAGTAACTCTCCAAGTTTTTGTTCTGTTTGCTGTGGGCAAGGTATTGAACTCACAACTCTTTGGGCCAAGTCACTTTTTGGATTACTTCAGCCAATGCTTTTATCCTTAGGGAGACATCAGGGAGTGACTCTTTGGAATTAATAAACCTAAATAAAAGGCGAGGCTAACAGTCCTAATGACGTAAATAGTTACAATACTTCATCTCAGAAATATAGACAGAGAGAAGTTGAGAAATTATACGTTTTTTTTTTTTTATATATTTAAAAAAAAAGTCCTCGAAACATTTAAAACATATTTCATATTGGTCTATCTTTAAGTCAGCCCCTCTCCCCCTCACATTCCAAACTTTGTTCTGACTATTGAACTCTTATGTTAGTTTATTTCTACAAGCTGTATAAATTACAGAAAATGGCTGTAGAATGGAGAAGCTGAATTAACAGTGCAAAAACAGTTCACTAGGTTGGACTAAACTGTAAATATTAGTGAATTGTCAAGGATATTGTCTTGTATATTTGATCAAGATATATCCTTGTCTTATAATTTAAAGCTGATTATAAAAAGTGACATTAACAGTTATTTTGAACTTCTCTACAGTAGTTATATACTTTATTTAAAGAAACCCTGTTATTTGCCAAATGCAAATAAGGAAAAAATCATATTGGTAAGAATTTTAAGACTAGCTGATTCATGCAATATTTATGTTAAGAGGTAAAAATTATCAGAATTATGGAGAAGAATCATGCTGAAGATAACACTGGAATGACAAAGAAAAAAAAATCCCATGCTTTGTTTGGACAATAGAATTCCATTGTATTAAAATATTTCATTAGATCCATTCTATGGAATCTCCCCCAACCACCTTGTGAATTATATAGCTGAAAGGTTTAGAACAGATCTGAAACATTGTTGTAATCTGTACAAAGCTGTTCAACCATCCAAACAAAACTTGGAATGTTAACAACTTATGGTTAACAAAGTATTTTCAATGCTCTTTTTGTATGTATATTTAAAAAAAAAAAAAAGTATTAAGTTAAAGATCATGCATTTATGGGCCAAAATATCAGATGCCATGTGTATAAGCAAGGTTTATGGAGATATGAAAAAGAAAAAAAGAGAAATAAATATAAATTAAAAAAAAAAAAAAAAAAAAAAAAAAAAAAAGAGAGACGTATAGAAATACAAAACATGTATCATTTGCAACAATAAATGAAAAAAGTAAAACAATTCAACAAAAAGTTATACAATATTAAATACTAATGACCAGAATAAAGAAATCCATTCTTACTCCTATATTAAGAGTGACCTTTTTTTTTTTTTAAGGAAATGGTCAAAGAAAAATAAATTTAACCATTTGTAAATTAAATACTTATGGTGTTCAAAATTCATAAATTTTCAATAAAATTATTTATGTTTATTATAGAGATTACATAAAAAGTTTTATCCAGTAAACATTATCAAATCTGATTTGCTTTAGAGAAATATAAACAAATATTAAATTAAAATAATCTGGTCAGCAGTGAAGGCATTTAAATTCAAAACAAAAACAATGTTTGATGAAAAGAAAGAGTATAATAAATGCAATCAGTTTTCAACAGAATAAAAATAAATGAAATAAACTAAAAATATAAAAATAAAAACATTTACTATATATATATATATATAACCAAATGAATGAAAAGGCATTTTTTTTTTAAAAAATTGGACACTGACAAATCAACAGAAAGAATCTAAATTCAATACATAATTTAAACTTTTTTTTGAGTATAAAAGAAAGTATAAATTAAGACAAATGAAAAATAAATAAAAAGTTATGACAATTTTTATAAATTCATTTAAGAGGAAGTAAGTTTAGAAGTATAGTTTAAAACTCAAATTGAATAAGAAATTTGATATTTTTAATAAACTGTAAATTTTTTAATAAGTCAAAAATGTTGATAATTTAAACCTACTTTATATAATTACCAAGATTATACTACAGTTTAGGTGAAACATTTTTACTTGTTAATTTTACTCCATTTTGTTACTGTTGCTTTTTAGATGAAAAATTTTCACTTCAGAAATAATGTCTTTTTCATTCTATCACTGCCATGTTGCCTATCATCAAGATCTTACAAATGCCACATCACTTTGCATAAACTGGTCATATACCTGAATGCCATATGTTAAATGAAGGATTGGACTGTCATTTTCCAAGAATACCTTTTAGATGAAGTATTTTCACTTATTGGAGTGAAGGAGAGTAAAAGCAGGACTAATTTCATAATTAGTGACCCCCACCCACTAGCCATGTTGCCTATACTCTAGATTTGCAAATGCTATATTGCTTTGTGTATCCATGATATTTTAAACTGGTCATGGCTCTGGATGCCACATGTTAAATGAAAGAGTGGACTGTCATTTTTCCTAGATGTCCTATATATATATATATATATATATATATATATATATATATATAAAAATAAAACAAACTTCTGGCTTTTCTAAAACATTGGTAATTTTTTTTTTTTTTTGCACTAAAAAGGAGCTATTTTTGTTTTAACATTTCTTTAGTTTCTGCCTGGATCATAAACTAGAATTTGGCAATTGTACAGAAGAAAATGGCAACATAACACAAAGGCCAAAACACTTTAGTGTCTGTGTCTCATGTGGATTTTGCAGGAAAAAAAAAAAAAAAGAAAAAAAAAAAGAAAAAGAGCCTTGCCACTGAACAAGGTTAGTGAGATCATGTAAATGAGCTTTTGTCAACCAATCGTGGTTCAAGTGTCAGTGAGTTGAAAAATATGCTACTATTTGGTATATCTTCTCCCCAG